TCAATCTGGATACATTTTGAAAGTGGGAGCAATTAGCTAGAGTAGCTCCGTGCAGAGCATTGTTGACATAGAAATTTGCAAAATACATACGGATCTAAATGTGGCAGACCCGTAGAATAAACTTCTCTCACAAGCAAAACATGATCACACCTTAGTACTCTTTGGGTGTTAATCACATAGCGATGTGAACTAGATTATTGACTCTAGTAAACCCTTTGGGTGTTGGTCACATGACGATGTGAACTATGGGAGTTAATCACATGGTGATGTGAATTATTGATGTTAAATCACATGGCGATGTGAACTAGATTATTGACTCTAGTGCAAGTGGGAGACTGAAGGAAATATGCCATAGAGGCAATAATAAAGTTATTATTTATTTACTTATTTCATGATAAATGTTTATTATTCATGCTAGAATTGTATTAAGCGGAAACATAATACATGTGTGAATACATAGACAAACATAGTGTCACTAGTATGCCTCTACTTGACTAGCTCGTTAATCAAAGATGGTTAAGTTTCCTAACCATACACATGAGTTGTCATTTGATTAACGGGGTCACATAATTAGGAGAATGACGTGATTGACTTGACCCATTCCGTTAGCTTAGCACTTGATCGTTTAGTATGTTCCTATTGCTTTCTTCATGACTTATACATGTTCCTATGACTATGAGATTATGCAACTCCCGTTTACCGGAAGAACACTTTGTGTGCTACCAAACGTCACAACATAATTGGGTGATTATAAAGGTTCTCTACAGGTGTCTCCGAAGGTACTTGTTGCGTTGGCGCATTTCGAGATTAGGATTTGTCACTCCGATTGTCGGAGAGGTATCTCTGGGCCCTCTCAGTAATGCACATCACCATAAGCCTTGCAAGTAATGTGACTAATGAGTTAGTTGCGGGATGATGCATTACAGAACGAGTAAAGAGACTTGCCGGTAACGAGATTGAACTAGGTATTGAGATACCGATGATTGGATCTCGGGCAAGTAACATACCGATGACAAAGGGAACAACGTATGTTGTTATGCGGTTTGACCGATAAAGATCTTCGTAGAATATGTGGGAGCCAATATGAGCATCCAGTTTCCGCTATTGGTTATTGACCGGAGACGTGTCTCGGTCATGTCTACATAGTTCTCGAACCCGTAGGGTCCGCACGCTTAAAGTTCGGTGATGATTTGCATTATGAGTTTATGTGTTTTGACGTACCGAAGGTAGTTCGGAGTCCCGGATGAGATCAGGGACATGACGAGGAGTCTCGAAATGGTCGAGATGTAAAGATCGATATATTGGACGACTATATTCGGGCATCGGAAAGGTTCCAAGTTATTCGGGTATTTTTCGGAGTACCGGGGAGTTACGGGAATACGAGGAAGAAGTGTTGGGCCTTAATGGGCTTTAGTGGGAAGGAGAGGTAGCAGCCAGGAGGTGGCGCGCGCCCCTCCCAAGCCCAGTCCGAATTGGACAAGGGGTTTGGGCCCCCCCCTCCCTTCCTTCTCCCCTTCCCTCCTTTCCCCCCTTCTCCTAGTTGGACTAGGAACGGAGGAAACCTACTCCTACTAGGAGTAGGAATCCTACTCCCTTGGCGCGCCTCTCCTAGGGACGGCCTCCTCCTCCCTTGATCCTTTATATACGGGGGCAGGGGGCACCCCAGTAAACACAAGTTGATTATTGATCCCTTAGCTGTGTGCGGTGCCCCCCTCCACCATAATCCACCTCGATCATATCGTAGAGGTGCTTAGGTGAAGCCCTGCGTCGGTAGCAACATCATCACCGTCAACACGCCGTCGTGCTGACGGAACTCTCCCGTGAAGCTCTACTGGATCGGAGTTCGTGGGACGTCATCGAGCTGAACGTGTGCTGAACTCGGAGGTGCCGTGCGTTCGGTACTTGGATCGGTCGGATCGTGAAGACGTTCGACTATATCAACCGCGTTCTCATAACGCTTCCGCTTACGGTCTACGAGGGTACGTGGACGATACTCTTCCCTCTCATTGCTATGCATCACCATGATCTTGCGTGTGCGTAGGAAATTTTTGAAATTGCTACGTTTCCCAACACTAGGGCCATGGGGGCGCGGTGGATCTCGGCAAGGGCCGGCGGGAGGGCTCCGTTTTTAGTCGTTTCTTTTAGTTTTGCTAGGGTTTGTGTTCTGCTCAGGAAGATGAGACGGCGGCGGCTCCCTGCTGATGGAATAAATGTCTCCCCGCCTAGACCCCATTCCGGCGGTGTGTCTAGCACCGTTGGTGGGCGTGTGGAGGCGTGTCTCCGGCGGATCTATCTTTGGTGGATATGTTCGGATCTCGTCGTTGTTCGTCTATGTTTGTGTGTCTTTGAGTTGGATCCTTCTGGTCTACGTTATTCTTCATCTGCGGTGGTTGCTGTTCTGGTGCGCTGGTCCTACGAGGCCTTAACACGACGACTTCCCGACTGTCTACTACAACAAGTTGTGACCGACTCCGGCGATGGAGGGGCGATGACAGCGGCGCGCCTTCGGCTCGTTTCAGTGCTTGTAGTCGTCGCTAGGTGGTCTACGAATCTGGATGCAATTTTTATTATTTCTGGTATTCGTTCTAATGCCATGATTGAAGATGAATAGATCGAAAATTTTCTCACAATCTTTTTTTCCCTAATCTTGCTCAAGGAGAGGTAAAATGAATTTCCCTCATCCATCCATTAGCCTTAGCATGACAGTATTTATATTTCTATCTCCCCTGAGGGTTTCTTTTTCTTTTTCTCCTTGCAACCATTTCAAAAGTCAAACTTTCTAGCGTATTATATTACGGCTTTACTACATTCATATGAAGGAATCCTCACGTTTCATTAGTGTTTCAAGTTGTTGTCTCAACTCTTTTTGTTCCGTTCTCGCGTGTGCAGTTAACGAGATGTCACTTTCCAATTCCTTACACAGAGCATGTTCCCTTTCCATCCCTTTAAGGGAATGTACAATGATGCTATTTTAACAGTGTCATATAGGATAAATGATGAGGTGGGGGAGAGAGAACCCGTAAGAAAAGACTTGTCTTCTCTTATTTAAGAGAAGACAAGAGATGGTTTTTTAGCACAATATGTCACATCACATTTTTAGAAATAACTAGTTATTGAAGAAAAAGCTAAGACATAACTCATTGTAGACGTCTTTTTTTGTCATATCTAAATTACATGTAAGACTTAAAATAAAATTATCTTATTAACCATTGTACATGCCCTAAGTTGCTCCTCAAATTTCCTTACTCACTCGTAGTTTACCGGGACCAAAAACAACTTATGCACGCTCAAACAATGGGGTTCTAGCCTATAAAATTGTCATGGTGTGAATTCTTACCGCGTCAACGTGAAGAAAAGAGAAGAAAATACCTCTATTTACCACCTCTCCAACGAATGTAGTTCTTCTCGTATATATTACGTATATCCGTATCATTCATCATATAATTAACTAATGTCCATATGGTATAATTTTTCTTAAAGGCTCCTTTAAAGCCACTATAAAGGTTGAACTTACGACAATTTGCTAGAGTTGCTTCAAGACATCTCATATATCTTGATGTGCTTTCGCAAAACCGATGGCGATTATCCCTTCTGGATCCGAATGGGTCAAAACTAGTTCCAGTATAAAATCTTGCTTCAACATCCAAACGCACTCCTGATTTCCTCAATGGAATCCTCCTGTTCCACTCGCTCACGTACGAATAAAACAAGAATTAAGCCTGCCGAGTCCCGTTTTGTTTGCTACCCTGCCTGATGGATCATCCTCAAAACCCGGCCTGCAAACAGCTACTAGTAGCTACAAAACGTGCAGAGATGCGTGGTTGCATCGCATGAGAGTGTGTGCCCGCCGCTGCCGGCCAAGTCCAGAAGCAGAGCCCTTATTGACAACGGCAGTTATACACCAATGAAGCGTTCCATCCAACAGCACCCGCCAAACTCCCTTCGCTCGACCTCTCCATCTCTATCACCAAGCCAGCTTCAGTGCCAGCAACAGCTACAGTGGCAACAGTGAGCTGATGTTTTCATGGATGCATGCATGCATGCTGATAGAGGGTGATGGGCCCGCAGGGTCCAGAACTGGAAAACGGAAGCTAGTGACATGCGTTGCCATCCCCAGTTCACTACCACTAACGCTACGCTAGGAACCAGCAGCATCTCTGATTGCTCCAACACACGGATCAGGCACGTGGTCCATGGCTCTGTACTTCACCGCTCTGGGCTTGTGATGCTTTGTCATGCATCGGAATAGTTCTGCGTGCAGGCCGGTGGTCAGAAAGCCAGAAACCAAGCTAGAGCGTAAGCGCTCTGAAGCTCGCTTGTGTCTGTTGTCACAATGTCTGCGTCTTGTTTGCGGCAGGGTGTTGTCTGTCAGCTGTTTGGGTACACTAACATGCCAAATGTTCCACCTAATGCTACTAATAGTCATTAAAAATCCCGAGAAAGAAAAATTAAGTGTGACTACAGTCAGCCTTAGTAAGCTTGATAAGATTAAGACAGAAGCTTTGAGTTTTTTTGGTTTTTGTGAGAAGAAGAAATGAACAGTTGGTAGGGGGGAAATAATATACCTACAGAAATATTTTCTATATTCAGTTCTGTTTTCTTTCCGCCAATTGGATATATGCACTCTTTTAACCTAGGGGGGCTATACGCACAATTGTGCTACCACCCAAGACGGCTGTGCCACGCTCCCTCCATTTCGAAGTTTGGAAAACCATGATTGGTGATGAAAATTTCAAGAAAAAAAAACATGTCACGAAAGTTCTAAGATAAAAGGGTGGTGGCAGAGGGCAGAAAATATTAACTGAAATTTTGTCTCTATGTCTCCTCAGAGATTTATTGACAGGCGCTAAATTATTATGTCATGCATGGTTCATCAATCCAAGTCGTTTCAGAAAACGTTTATGACCATCGCAAGTCTTTCCGACGGGCGGGAGCGCGGCATCACGGTAAACGGGTGGGAAACCCAGATATGTTCCCTGGCATGTCAAATGGTTACGAGATCACCTTGGCCCAGAGAGCTGAACTGCCTCCAGCTCCACGGAGTTATGCTCCTCTTCACTGTAATGCGCAGGAGACAGCACAATCTTGGGGGTTTCCATTCCGTGCTCCGGTGCCTTGACATCCTTCAATCTCTCCCATCTCCCCGCGACCGACCCATCTCCCTCCAGCATCCTGACGACTTCAGACATCCTTGGGCGGTGGGCTGCCCTGTACATTGTGCAGAGCAAGGCTAGCTGGACCATCTCCTCCGCCTCGGCGTAGTTGTAGTTGTACTTCAGCCTCTCGTCCACGAACGAGCTCAGCAGGCCATCGTTAAGGAGCTGCCTTGCCTGCAGGAAGACCATCACACATCCATGTGAGATCAATGGCCGTTCATGGCACATTTTGCGCAACAAGTTCTTCAACTCTTGGATATTATGTGAAAAGGTTTATTTGATCCTAAGAAAAAACATTGTAATGTTCTGTAGTACTAATGGAGTATATGAGTTGCTTGTTCCCTTAATCGAAGATAAAGATTTACATTCCTAAAAATGGCAAAAGATTGACAGTAATGCTCATAAGTTAATAATTAAGATATATAAGAGTAATAAGAGATGTAGTGTTTCTTCCGTACGTGTTCAATCAGAAATGTAATGGCAAGAATGACCTAAAGAGACATCATGTTTACCAAGAAGAAATGTAATGCATTTGGCACAAAAGGAAGGACTTACCCAATCAACCACTCCTCCCTTCTCAAACTCATCCGGATTAACGTCCAACCTTTTTCGACCAGTCATTAGCTCGATCAACAAGAGTCCATACGCGAAAACATCGGTCTTATCCGATGATTCACCTGTCAACAGATACTCAGGAGCGATACGCCCAAATGTCCCACGGATTGCTGTGAAAACATGGGACTGCCCTTGACCCAAGAGCTTTGCCAGCCCAAAATCGGAGACTATCGCTTGAAAATGTTCATCAAGAAGAATATTGGACGCTTTTATGTCGCGATGGATTATTCTTGGATCACACCGCTCATGCAAATAGGCGAGCCCTCGCGCCGCGCCAAGCGCAATCTTCTTTCTCCCTGCCCAGTCTAACGCAGGTCTTCCGCTCACATATGCTGACAAAACCCACGGAAAACACTTTGCTCAATTTGCTAATAGTAAAAATAAAATAAAATAACTTCATTCTGAAAACAAGTACGAATAGAGTCTGCAGAGAAAGAGTAATAAAAGTGATTTTTTATTAGCAACACAACATATAATCAACTAATTAGTCCAATGTATTATCCTTTGTTCGCAGAGTAACAAATCATTGACTGTTCAAGAATTTTCACACATTTGCATTTTTCACTGGACATGTTGATGTGCACCAAGATATTTTATGAATGAATCTGACACTAACTATTTGTTAGAGTCATAATAATCCCTCAGCTTCTTCTTGGATGAAACCGAGTGATTGTTGCCTGATATATACTAGGTTCCATCATACTTTGTAACTCTGCTCTTTCTTACTTATTGTTATAAAACAAATGCAGTCAACCTTTTTCAAAACTTTGATTATACATAGAAGTATTTATTTTTGTCATAAGAAATTTAGTACTAATGGATAACCATATAAAATACAGCCCCTTTTACAAGTTAATGATTTTCAAATCAGTAATTAGTACAAGCAGGTGTCAAGTATTTATCTCCAAGCTTGTGCGGTTGCTCAAAATGGCAAAGGGAAAAGAACGTATGTAGTATTTACCTTGGTTATCTTGATATAAAAACAGTGATGAAAACACAAGCTAGGCAACCAATTAGGTCAACCATGAATTTCTATTACTTGTCATATGAAGGAAGTGCATTATAGTTTTTGATTAAAAATAGGATATATTATATAACCCACATCTATGCGTATATAAAGATACATAATGATAAACTAACCTTGTAATTTGGAAGCAACAGTTCCATTTAGCATGTAAGGGTATACAAGGATCCTCTCATTATCTTCAGAGCAGAACCCAATTAGATTAATGAGGTTGCGGTGAACAACCAAGCTCATGACTTCAACTTCTGTGTGGAATTGAACTTCACCAGCAGAAACAAATTCCCTCAACCTTTTCACAGCTGCAATGGTGCCATCAAGCAAAATACCCTTGTATACTATCCCAAATCCTCCATGCCCCAAGATGTTATTTGGGTGGAAGCTGTTGGTAGCTTGTTTGATATCCTTGAGCGTGTACATCTTCAGATGACCATGGCTTACTTCTGAGTTCTTTTTGTCTGGAAAACATTTACCCCTTACCATAAGCAGTCATCAGGTATATAGAGTGCTACAAAGTAACATAACAAATGAATGCCCACTGTAGCTGATGCACAAGAAAGTTGAGTAACTAGTTATGTGACCATGATCATTAAGCGCATGAAAAAGTTGGTATTTCGCATTGAATTCTAGGAAGGAATTCAAATGTTCAATTGTGTTGAGGGAAAAATTGTAAGCTACTACCTCTGTAACTTAATATACGTTTTTTGACACTATCATAGTGTCTAAAAACATCTTACATTAAGTTATGGAGGGAGTATTTCATAAGGAAAATAAAAAGGCAACCATGACATGACTAAAAATAGAATATACATAGAAGATTCTGAAAATGAGGTGATTATGATCGTCTAACTGTATCAAACACATCTCCTAACCAATGTATGACTGTGTGGCAAGGCCAAAACAAATGGATAGGGAGTGAGTGAGGATTGAGGAGATAAACTTCTTCCCAAGCAAAGGTTGGCAAAGAGTAGCTAAAACTTTGTTGTTGTACAAGATAGAAGAAGTCAATCATATAAATGTGGCAGTGATAATCAAAATGCTATCAAAGTAGTTTTTATAATAACCAATCTATTAGATACGGTGGGAACCATTTGATAAAATATCTATAAATGTAGCAGTGATAATCAAAATGCTATCAAGTTGCGCTTATTTTTGCCGGTCTGGAATGGAGAGTCTTTGACATGTGGACCACGATCTGAGACGTCAGATCGTGGGCTGTTACCGACTTGGACGTGGGTTCAGCCCACGTCTCTCCACGCGGCTGCACGTATATATGTGGGGCGTCTGCAAACCCTAGCCGTCAAGCGAAACAGATCGTATCTGCCTCTACTCCCACTATCGTTCCATTGCTGATGCTGCCGCCGGTGATCCCATCTCGTCCGCCGCGTACACGGTCGACGGGAGAGCAGGCCTACGAAACCCCGCCTCTCGGATCCTGTACGAGAGAGGGGCGATTAGGTTTTTGGGGAGCGATTACGCGACAGCTCGCCTCCGATCGACTACTTCCTCTACATCCGCGTCACCGTCGTCATCACCATGTCCAGCAACGCAGAACATGCTGCCGCCGAGAAGCTCTAAGCCGAGAAGAAGGTCGTCGAGGACGCTGCTGCTACCACCTCCACCGCTGCGGCCTCTGCATGGCCTACTGGAGGGTATAACTCGTTTATCCTGCTCCTATTGATTTCTGTTTTAGCCATGCTAGCATTATACGTAGATGGATCTGCTAGTAGCGTAGTATGTGCTTGCATGATCGAATATCATTATGTTTTTTTCTGACAATGCCATGCTAGTAATTTATTCGTGGATTAATTTAGTCAAAAACTGCCTATTTACTCAGCAGAACATATAATGCTAGGGATGAGGAATGTAATGACCTGAGGCACATGCCTGCTAGGGGTCCATAGCATGTATATTCCATGTACTATATGTGTAGAAATCTAGTCACAACCAAGAATGCTCGAATCATTTTCTTATTTTTCCCCGGGGCCTCTAGAACAATTAGGCCAACCATGCATAAGGTTAGCTACTAGTATTATTAAAACGCTATTCCTATTAGCCTAGTAGTTAGGACATATGAGTTCGGTGTTGAACAACACAACCTATATTATGTCCCACCTTTTCATAATGTTTGGCTCCACTATTGTGCTAGGAGTGGAGGGCAAAAGATCTCAAAGACGTTAGCTCTATATAACTATCTATATTTTAGTGAATGAGTACACGAAGGAGATGAATGTGGTAAATAAGGTTATCAGTCGCCCTTAAGCATATGACTCATGATATATTAGGAGTAACCGAACTATACCTGATAGTGTGGTAACATGGATTTGGATACCCAACATGTTCTAGTTCTTTCCAGCCCTGATAAAGTTAGTCACGTGCAAATACCTTGGGTAACCATTGAACACAAGAGAAATGTGTCATTGACAAGGTCTGCTTGAGATGAGAGTATGAGTTTGAATCATTTTTTGATTATCCTTACGACTATCGAGTGATAGTTAACCTCCCAAATTGTGTGATAATACAAATAGACAAGTTAAAATTAGGATTCATGTGGGAGGGTATTAGGATAGAAAAAGTTAAATGCATGTAGTGCTTGCTTAATTGAGCAATGGCATGTTGCCAATAATAATTGCTAGGCTTGGTTAAATCCAGAAGGCACAATAGCAAATATGGCTATGGTACCATTGGATAAGAAAAGAGAGGCCATTGTACGGCTCAGAAATTTCTTACAACGATAACTTCAAATCAATGGATTCCAAATCGATTTCACTGCAATTATATAGACGATTCACCTTTGAACAAACATCACAAAATGATATTGGTTTATTCATGACAAAAAGTGTCATCATCGCGAGGTTTTCGTCGTACATCAACAAGTTTCTTGTAGTGTCATATCAGTTTCCTTGCAATAAGGTTGCACTTGATTATGAACCAAATGATGGATCCCCCCTTATGGTAGATATAGAGAGTAACTTGTGAGCAAATGTACTTCATTCCATAGATTAGAAAGGGGTAGTGAACCAAGAGCACCCTTTTAAACGAACGCGCAGCTTCCAGTTCCAAGGATCCATAGAAGATTTTCGCATCAAACAACAATGTAGAGCTCACATGAACCCAAGTGCAAAACTAGGCTCGGGATCATCCTATATTAATGTGTGCGAGTTTTGAGAATACTAGATATGAGAACAAGAGATAGAGATATAGAGTGAGAAGCTGGCCTAGGTTGAGGGGCTACGGTGGTGGTTGGCTGGCTTGCTCTAGTTGTGAGGTGGAGGAGGCATTGCTAGGTGAAGACTTCATCGACGGTGATGGCTGCAGCCGCCATTTCCCCTTCTTGAAGGTGTCGATTTTGGCATTGTTTCACCCCCATGCTCTCAGACCCCGAGAGAAATCTCAGACCCGAGGTTCCCAAGTCGGATGGTGTCGATGTCTCTACTTTGTTTCCTCCTTGGGGGCATCTTCTTGGATTATTTCTGCTTTAGGAGGACTCACCTCTTGCTACTCCATCTCCACCTCGGCTTTGATCCCCGACTGGGCATTATTTAGGCGACTCGAGTGGAGCTTTCCTGGATGTCCTGGTGTTGGCCTCGACGAACCGCTGCCCTTCAACCTCGGCGGCAATGCACCGGTACTGCGCCCTTCGTTCTCGATGCGTGTTGCCTTCTCGGCTTCACCGGCGGCACACCGGTGCTTCCGCTCGAACTCGGCTATCAGACGTTCTTCATTCATGCGAGTAACTTTTCTCGGTATGCTTCTACTTTGGTGTCTCCTTTCCGTCAGGGTTGTGCTTCATGGTGGCCCGAATGACGTTTGCGTGAACATCCCGGGGTGGCCTTGGCGGCACGCTGGCATTCAATCTCAGCGGCGGTACACCGATGCCACGCCCTTCGGTCTCGGTGGTGCATTGTCTTTCAGACTCGTCGGTGCACACCGGTGTTGCCGCACGAACTTGGCTATCCGACACCATTCGTTCGTGCCGGTGATGTTCCGTTGCTAGCTGCTGTTTTGGTGCCCGCCTTTTTCTCCCTAGGCCTTGTTGCGGTTCATTACGTGTGGTGGAACGAGCTGCTCAGCGGAGCTCGCTACTGAGATGTCCGCCTCCTGGGGTTTTGGTTTGGTTCTATAGCCAGCCATTCCCTCCATTTCTTTCTTTCTTCTAGTTTTGGGCTCTTCTCTTGGTGCCTTCCTCTATAATTTTCTTTTGCGCCTCATGTGCGCTTACATCTATTTGTACTGACTACCAAGTCACCTTCGAGTTGGAATATAACAAACGGTGGGTTTTTTGCCCCCCTTAATCTCAGAAAATATTGTGTGGGTTGCAGAGGTGTCATTCGCTCACGGGTGGGCAACCCAATGAATATTTTGTTCCTCTATAGCTATGTTAGGTTCAAAAGGAAAGGTGTTCCCCTGCTTGTTCTTGAGCACGCGCAAGGCGGTGATTCTTGCTGAAAAACCAAAGGGCTAAAGCCCTCTAGCTTTTAAGATGGAGTCTGCAACTTCAAAGCTACTGTTTTCCGTCCTCCTGTCGAGTGGGCATTTCCTTTGTCTATCGTGTTTCTCACTTGGCTTCATCCCGAACGAAGGAGGCATGATGGTGGGCGCATGCGTGTGCCGAATGCAGAGACTACAAGACGACGCCGGAAGCGGTTCGCTTCTATTCTCGATTGGATATAGATGGGGAACCTCTATAGATTGTCTTTTTTCAACAATCTCTCTAAAACACATACGAGAAAATTGCACTTCACGACGTGAAAACCAAAGAGTTTTGCTCGATTGGCTCTCCTAGGCTTCCGCCTACACTTCCTTTTCTCTTAAGTTTACAACAATGTGGTGAGTAATATCCTCCATCAAGGTTGTGAGGATCACTTACTAAGAATTGGGTCGGACTCCGGTGATAAGATCATAAATCACAAGATCATAACTATGAGAGTCGTAGTATCATAGATTCGACTAATTAAAATCGTAGAATAATCCAAATGAGTTTAGACGATTAATCTGTAGAATCATTTGATAGAACCGCCATTTTCTACAATAAAGAATTCTGGATCAATCGTTACTTGGCTCGAACATTGCATTGGCCTTCCTTTGCAAAGGTACTAGTGTGGACATGAACACATGGAAATATGATGAAATGAGTGAAAAGAGAAGATTCTTCACTTTTTCTAAGAAACAACATTTTGGCAAAAAAAATGGTGGCTAATGGAACATGGGAGGAGATCAGTTATAGAGATCTCACACATCATCCAAGAAAATCCGCATTTGTCCTTGTGAATCAGATGTTGATGCCACAAGTTGAACTCTTTTGTGTTTGTATCATCTCCGTACGGTGCAAAAGGAGTAGAGATAACTGGTGGGCAGCCGAGCTAATAGCCCCTTGCAAGCGATTTCAGATGACGCGAACTGTCGATTTTTGAAGGTCACATGTCCGGTGCCTTTCCATTTATGACAGTTTTCTTTTTTTGTGCAACTTTTGGAAATTACAATACCAGCTTTCGAGAATTCACAGCTTAGCTTTCAGAATTCTAAACTTTCGGAATTTCATCTTCCAATAAAATTTTGGAATTTCAACAAGTTCAAAAATATGAACTTTCAGAAATTTTGATATTTTCAAAGTCTACTTTTGGAATTTCAGAAAGTTCATGATTTGGACTTTCAAAAAATTTGAACTTTCAAAATCTGGAACTCTTTCATAGGGAAAAAAGGGGAAAGTTACATGTGTGTGGGCCTCACACCAGAAAAAGTCAAACATATGAGAGCAAAGTAGAGAGAAGCAACACATGTGGGATCCTCCTGACCATGTACCGACACGGGCCAACACACATGCAGACTGAGGGAATGGTTTGCCACGAGGGAGCCCATTCGGGGCGCAAATAATCAACAAAAGTTTCGATATCCAAAAACAATCCATACAAAACCGAGTGGCTTCGCAAAGCTCCCAATGAAGCGGAGTGAACTAAAAGAAGAAGGTGCAATTGTCTTGTCGCCTAACCACCGGCTTGTGGTCCTCTCTAGAATGATGACCTTGGCATCCTTGACATTTCGTGTCTCGGGACTGCACTCCACACACAATGGTTAAATGACTGCATTGTACCGATTGCTCTTGCCATGGGTTGTGCTCGACCTCCACCACCATGATGATGTGACGTCTCTCTTCCATTCATACGCTAATTGGGTCATGGCTGACATGACCTTAACATACTTTTGGGAGGACACATGGATCAAAGAAACATGTGTTGACATAACGCCAACCATCTATGCCATAGTCCCACCGAAGTCCTGATTTAGGAGCATTGTCAAGCAGGGGCTCATGAACTGGGTTTGGACTGTGAAATACATCAAGCTTTGGAACTTTTGTCCCTTTACTCTGATCACGACCTTGTTATTTAATATGATGACGGGTAACTCATCCGGTCAATACACTTCTGATTAATGCCACCTCGCTTGATTCTGTAACTTGCTGAGTAACCAACACTGGAAGCTCATTTGGCACACATGGGCACGAAATAAGGTGTCATAGATCCACACATGTTTTTGCATGCCATAATAGGTGTTGGATCGGCCTCGACCAGACTTGCTTACCGAGGCCTCCCACACTCGCTAGCATGTGTGATCTATGATCAATTGCGAGTGACACTACAATACATCCTTGTTGATTGTTCCTTCTCGGTCATGACAGGTGTTCTCTTGGTCACACTCCACATCTAGTGTGCCGCAAAGGGGTGATGACTTCCGGCATTAGTGGGCAATGATCATGCACTCTTCAAGCTCGAGACCCAAGAACGACATAGCTTCACTAATCATGTTGAGTGTATGGTAAATATGGAAGCACTTGAACGACAAAACCTTCAATGGTGCATGAGCTGACGCCTCATATGGCTCCTAGACACTATAAAAATCAGCCACATGCATGGTGTAGGGCATGTGCGAAAGGGCCGAGTGAAATCAGACTGGAGAGTAGCCCTAGATCTGAGGACGGGTGTGTGATTGGCGACAAAGCCCCCATCGGTTTTGCGACAAAACTGTTGTAACATACCCTTCTTTCTCAATGCAATGTTAAGTTCCCTAAATTGCTAATAATGGTGTATGTTTACTAAAGTTGCCTAGGAACATAACCTAGATATAAAAATAAAAAATAGAGCCGGGAGACCCCAAGCTCACAATAAATTATTATGATCCTCCTCTGCAAACCAAGACATGAACATGTCACTCCTCCAGATGTAGGAGGTAAATAATAAGCAATGCAAACTCATACACAACATTGGAGAGCACGTGGTTACCATCTATCTCAGCAAATATCCGGAGGCGCCGCCTACGCCACTGCTGAGTAGCCTCGAAGACTCCAAATAAGGCGACAGTTACCACAGAGCCAATTGATACGCAGATCACCACCAATTTGATGGTTGCTGCAACGCTTTGTGAGTGAGCTGCAACAAATTAGAATTGAGTGTAAGTAGCACACATGGGATACCGTGGAGAAACCCAAACATGATTAACCCTACCATATTATATGAAACAAGATTCTTCATATTTGGGCAAAGAAGAGTAAATGTCTTACTGGGCGGGTCTAGTGCGGGGACAGTGATCTCTTGCTGCAAAACTGTGGAGGCGGCGCAACTTCCTCCGCAACCGGGATAACGTAACAGCGGATTTCCGGAAACGCTGTCGTCGTTCCAGCATGTGCCATGAAAAGAGAAGAAGAAAATCAGGTCAGAACTAGTTTTCTTCCAAGACCACATGTGGACTGAGAGGGCAGGAAAAAAGAAAGTGAACTGAACTAGAAATCACTTACAGTACATTCCTTATGTTGAAAGCCTCCACCGTGCCGCTCAGGTTGTTGAAGGACAGGTCCCTGAGAAATAGAGCGATTTTCAAGCTAACTTATCATAACGTACGTAAAAATCATCAGCGAATACCAGATTTTCCACAAATTTAAGAAGAGGAAAGACAGTGATTAGTAGACTGAGAAAAGGAAATACATGACGAAGAGGCTGCTAGAATTGATCAGCGAGTCAGGTATCGTGCCGTTGAGCTGATTGTTTGACAGGGAAAGATGTCGTAGCAGCGGCAGCCCTCCAATGGCGTCGGGAATAGGGCCAGAGATTGAGTTATGGTGCAATAACCTGTGGAAGAAAACACCCAGACCCGGATCAAACGTTCGTATTCCTGCGTTCCGAACGGATGAGCGTAAAGTACGTAGTGCTATCGAACAGGGCTTACAGATTGCGCAGTCGCCGCAGCTTCCCGATCGCCGGCGAGAGTGTGCCGGCCAGGCCCATGTTCTGCAGTTGTCTGCAAGCAGGAGAGAGAAACCATGCATGAGTCAGAAAACTTCAAACCAAGCACACGGCACGGAAAGGATTAGTTAACGGCGCGGCGGTACGTACAGTGAGTCGATACGGCCGACGGAACATGTGACCCCCGTCCACCGGCACCGGTGACGACCGGCAGTGACGATCCAGTCTCCGAGAATTCCGTCCGGGTCATGGAGCGCCGCCTTGATGGCCATCAGAGCCTTCACTGCAAAACCACGCCACAACGGCCGTCGATCGACCATGCAATGCAAAAAGGAGTGAGTAGATGAACTGAATTTAATCTGGTTCGAAAGAAAAAGAGGGGTACTAGCGAGCTAGAACCAAAGGAAGAGCTAAATCATCATGGATATGCAGTTTCTTCTACACGAGAAGCAATCACGAAAAACCTGGACGGATTACGTCCGGCGAGCTCAGCACAGAGCGAAGATCAAGGAAAAGGGCCGGAGAAGCCGTCGTGCACAGGAAGGACGATGAGTCGACGATCGATCGAGCGTTGCAAGCAAGGCAACTCCGAGAGGGGCAGATCTAGGTAGGTAGGGCCTAGGGGGGAGAGGAGGAGTACGTACATTCCTCGGCGCGGGAAGAAACATGCTCCGCCCTGGACGCCGAAGCCACGACCCCTCCCAGCACGGCCACAGCTAGGGCCAGCACCGCCGCCGCCCTGATCACGCCCCAGGAAGCCCCACGCCCGGCCATGGCGGCCACCGCGGCCACAACGATCGACGAGGACGACGACGCGCACGGCGAGCGAGAGGGGGAGCGAGAGGACGGAAGCGCTGGGAAGGGAAACTGCCCCGGAGCGACAGCAGGGAGTACGGAGGAGAAAAGCGGACGGTGCAAACGGAAATGCCGCGGTACTAGGCGGCAGCGCGGGGTAGTGCCTGGCAGCCGGGCGCGGGGCGAGGAGGAAAGCTGGAGCAAACGGGTGCGCGCGCGCTGCTTGTCGGCTACTGCACGCCCGCCTGGCCTGTCCCTCGCCCGGGCTTCGGTCGGTCGGTTACCGGTGCGGCGGAGGGTAGGGGGGGTGGACGGCGGGTCTCGGCCGCGCGCGGGCGTGCGTCACAGGGCGCGTGAGGCGGGTGCTTGGAGCTGCGGAAAACGCCGAGGGCACGCGTATGCATGCATGCATGCTGCATCCTGCCCCTCGCGCTTTTCTCCTGGCCTTATTTAATTGGAGATACACTGGGGTTGGAAGATTTTACGCACTCGCACCGGATGGATATCCGGTGATTAACTCGCTGCCAGTTATGGGGTCGCTACGAACAAGGAAAAGGATACTCCTCCTTCGTGATTTATTGCGCTGAGATATCCCGGCACTGCGATTTTGGAACGAAAACGAAGGATCGATCGAGGTTCCATTTTTGTATGCACTGGCCAGTTATTGAGTTGCGATTTTGCGGACAAGGGAAAGTTCCTCAATGGGATTTACTGGGCTGCAGTTACTGAGAATATCTCATTCTTCAAAGATTTTGCTATTGGACCAGGCCAGCTGGGAAATCCCAGTGCAATAATTTAGTTCCAGATGTTGGAATAATAAAAACGAGGCTCCATTTTGTACGCTCAGGTAAGGTTTTTTCTGAAACTGAGGCAAAACTTTTGCCTCGTCGATTAATTAAGAAGAATAGAGTTTTTCAGTTAATTTCAGAAAACCGGGTAAAAATCGATAAAAACAACCCACATGCGTACTATTCACACAACACGAAACACCATGACCGCACATGTGGCCCTCCTAATGCATCACAACCGCAATTCTCCACACTTGTACAAAACAACGAAGCTCCAGACAAGTACACCGCACACAAAAGAAATGAAGCACCCTCCATCATGAAGTCACGGGCGCCTTCCGAATGACGCCGGTCTTCTCGCTTTTGTTTGTCTTTGCTTTCTCCCTGTTGGGTTTCTCCTTCAGGAGGCACCCACCTGTATAGTCGGATCGAGGCTGATCAACCACCCATTTGTTAAGAAAGTCGTACAACTCATTGTACTTCTTGACGTAGTTGTCATCAACCAAGGGGCTCTTAGGAGCAGGCACCAACCATTTGGCCTCAACGACATCATTGGCCCGAGAAACCACTGACATGACATCCTCCACCACAGGGACCCTTGACACAATGGACTTCGGCATCTCCAGTTGCTCACGTGACAGAGGCGAAACATGCCCCTCACACAAGGTCGACGACGAGTCCACCTCCAACCTCTGCAAGGACAGAGGCGAAGCAGGGCTCAAACATATATCCCGAAGCTCAGGCATTAGCTGTAGCACCGAAGTCGCAAGCACAGCAGCGATGGACTTGCCCAAGACAGTAGGCAACACAAGGGTTGAAGCAAACATTGTCGGTGAATTGTCCCGAACACAAGGGAAGAAACAACCATAGGTCTCTGCTCCTTCGCCCTTCGTGGTGCCAACATCGGCCACACCAAGAGACCATGTCGTCAGTGTGGTATGCAGTATAGCCGGCACAAGGGAGAGCCTACTCAAAGCAGCCTCTGCTCGCTCCAGAAAGCTCTCAATATGTGCCTGCCAGCCTTGAAGCAACTCAGTTTGGTCAGCAAGAGCAGATTGAAGCACCACATCGGATGGGGTTGTCGGGCTAGCGGAAGCAGAAACCATAGAGGCCCAAGACCCACGGCGAAGCTCATTGGAGGGAAGCACAAATTTCATTTGGCCTTCTCTTGGAGCAGGAGTCTGACGATGCTGGGTGCCGAGGCGAAAGACGGGCGACATGACAAGACATGACAGTTCCTATGTTTCCACAGCCACCATTAGTGAGGGAGACGATGGAGGTGAATCCCTTGCACATGGCCACATGAGTCAGGAGGAAGGAGCTTGCCCACCATTTGAGGAATGGGACGTCGTTGTAGGGGATGGTAGTAGGCAGTCTGCACCATGAGAAGATCTCATGCCACACTTGATGTGAGAAGGAGTTGCCGTTGAGCAGGTGTTGCATACATTCCGGCTTTTGATTGTAGAAGATGCAACAGGAGTTGTGGGACAAACCTTGGCAGGCGAGGTACTCATCGGTCCAGCACTGCCCCTGGACGGCAAGGCATAGATGAACTTTGACCCGAAGCGGATCCCAAGTTTTCCATGTCAGGCGCCAGTGAGGGTCGGTGATGGAGCCGATGAAGAGCTGGTCGTAGTAGGATGGCTGAGTAAACTCCGATTTTGTCCACCGCCATTGAATCTTGTCAGGAGCATCGGAGAGGTGAACTAGCCAGACTTGGCGCCAAAGGTCAACAAACTCTACGAGGATGGCTGGGCCAAGCACACCAAAGATGTCTGGACCCAGGATCACAAGTGCAAACCCTCTTTGTCTGTCTGCGCTGGGCACTCGGAGGCGGGGCGACCATTGATCTAGTGATCGGTCCAGAAGTAGCAGGAGCGGCCATCATCGACGTGCCAGAGGGTGGACATGGAAAATGCCTCTAGACTTGGGGTCAGAGTGAAGGTGCAGGTGTTGGGGAGCATAGTGATTCAAAAAATTCCTACGATCACGCAAGATCTAACTAGGAGATGCATAGCACCGAGAGGGGAGAGTGTGTCCACGTACCCTCGTAGACCGAAAGCAGAAGCATTATGTTAACGGGGTTGATGTAGTCGAACGTCTTCACGATCCAACCGATCCAAGTACCGAACGTACGACACCTCCGTGTTCAGCACACGTTCCGCACGATGACACCCCTCGAGCTCTTTATCCAGTAGAGGGTCGAGGGAGAGTTCCGTCAGCACGACGGCGTGGCGACGATGATGATGAAGTTACCGATGCAGGGCTTCACCTAAGCACTATGACGATATGACTGAGGTGTTAAACTATGGAGGGGGGCACCGCACACGGCTAAGAGATTGTCTGTTGCGCCTTTGGGGTGCCCCCTGCCCACGTATATAAAGGAGGGGGGAGAGAGGCTGATGGCCAGGAGGGGCGAGTCCTAATTGGACTCCTAGTCCAAGTAGGATTCGCCCCCCCCCCCTTCCTTTCTTCCATCGGAGGGAATAGGAAGGAGAGGGAGAGGGAAAGGGAAGGGGGGAGCCTCCCCTCCTCCTTGTCCTATCCGGACTCCCAGGAGGGGGCGCGCGGCCACCCCCCCCCCTCCCCGGCGGGCTTCCCTCTCTCTCCCTTAGGCCCATGTTGGCCCAATACTTCCCTGGGGGTTCCAGTAACCCCTCGGTACTCCAGAAAAATACCCGAATCACTCGGAACCATTCCGATGTCCGAATATAACCTTCCAATATATGAATCTTTACCTCTCGAACATTTCAAGACTCCTCGTCATGTCCGTGATCTCATCCGGGACTCCGAACAAACTTCGGTCCTCAAATCACATAACTCATCATACAAATCATCATCGAACGTTAAGCGCCCGGACCCTACGGGTTCGAGAACTATGTAGACATGACCGAGACACATCTCCGGTCAATAACCAATAGCAGAACCTGGATGCTCATATTGGCTCCTAGATATTCTACGAAGATCTTTATCGGTCAAACCACATAACAACATACGTTATTCCCTTTGTCATCGGTATGTTACTTGCCCGAGATTCGATCGTCGATATCGTCATACCTAGTTCAATCCCGTTACCGGCAAGTCTCTTTACTTGTTCCATAATGCATTATCCCGCAACTAACTCATTAGTCACATTGCTTCCAAGGCGTATAGTGATGTGCATTACCGAGAGGGCCCAAAGATACCTCTCTGATACACGAAGTGACAAATCCTAATCTCGATCTATGCCAACTCAACAAGCACCTTCGAAGACACTTGTATAGCATCTTTATAATCACCCAATTACATTGTGACGTTTGATAGCTCACAAGGTGTTCCTCCGGTATTCGGTAATTGCATAATCTCATAGTCAGAGGAATATGTATAAGTCATGAAGAAAGCAATAGCAATAAAACTAACAATCATAATGCTAAGCTAATGGATGGGTCTTGTCCACCACATCATTCTCTAATGATGTGATCCCATTCATCAAATGACAACACATGTCTATGGTCAGGAAACTTAACCATTTTTTATTAACGAGCTAGTCAAGTAGAGGCATACTAGGGACACTCTGTTTGTCTATGTATTCACACATGTACTAAGTTTTCGGTTAATACAATTCTAGCATGAATAATAAAAATTTATCATGATATAAGTAAATATAAATAACAACTTTATTATTGCCTCTAGGGCATATTTCCTCCAGTCTCCCACTTGCACTAGAGTCAATAATATAGCTTACATAGTAATGATTCTAACACCCATGGAGTCTTGGTGCTAATCATGTTTTGCTCGTGAGAGAGGCTTAGTCAACATGTGTGCAACATTTAGATTCATATATATTTTGCAAATCTCTATGTCTCCCTTCTTGACTTGATCACAGATGGAATTGAAGCGTCTCTTGATGTGTTTGGTTCTCTTGTGAAATCTGGATTCCTTCGCCAAGGCAATTGCTCCAGTATTGTCACAAAAGATTTTCATTGGACCTGATGCACTAGGTATTACACCTAGATCGGATATGAACTCCTTCATCCAGACTCCTTCATTTGCTACTTCCGAAGCAGCTATGTACTCCGCCTCACACGTAGATCCCGCCACGATGCTCTGCTTGGAACAGCACCAACTTACAGCTCCGCCATTCAATATAAATATGTATCCGGTTTGTGACTTAGAGCATCCGGATCAGTGTCAAAGATTGCATCGACGTAA